ACACAACCCACACAAGGGACACTCCTGGAGCACGTGGCTCACGTGATCAGGGAGACTGTGTCAATGGGCCCTATAGGACATGCACTACAAGAGGGGAAGACATGGCAGATCTACCTAATAAATAGAAACAAAGATAGAAAAACAGCCAAAATAAAAAGTAAACATGTCCCAAATGAAAGAACAGGAGAAAATTGAAAAAGAACTAAAGGAAATGAAAGCAAACAATAGACCAGTTCAAAACACTAGTTATAAGGATGTGCAAGAAACTTAGAACTTCAACAAAGAGATAGTAAGCAGAAAAAGGGGACATAAAACTATAAAAAAGAACCAGTCAGAAATGAATACAATAACTGAAATGAAGAATACAGTAGGAGGAATCAATAGCAGATTAGATGAAGCACAGGATCAAATCACCATTTGGAAGACAAAGTAGCAGAAAACACCCAATAAGAACAACAAAATAAATGAGGATAGTTTAAGGGACCTATGAGACAACATTAAGCATAACAACACTCACATCATAGAGGTACCAAAAAGAAAAGAGAGCAAGGAATTGAAAACCTAATTGAAGAAATAATGACTGAAATCTTCCCTAACTTGGCAAAGGAAATATACATACAAGTCCAGAAAGCACAGAGTCCCAAATGAGATGAACCCAAAAAGGCCCACATCAAGACACATCATAATTAAAATGCCAAAGGTTAACTACAAAATGAGAATCCTAAAAGCAGCAAAGGAAATGCACCTACTTCCTTACAAGGGAGTTCATAAAACTGTCAGCTGATTTCTCAACAAAAACTTTACAAGTCATAAGGAATTGGCATGAAATATTCAAAGGGATAAAAAGCAAGGTCGTACGACCAAGATTACTCTACCCAGCCAGGCTATCATTTAAAATTGAAGGAGATAAAGAGCTTCCCTGACAAGAAAAAGCTAAAAGAGTTCACTACCAACAGGCCACTATTACAAACAATGTTAAAGGGGCTTCTTTAAGAAGAAGGAGAAAAAAATCAAAATATAAATAACAAAATGGCAGTAACTACATACTTATCAATAATTACTTTAAATATAAGTTGATTAAATGCTACAATCAAGACACTGTGGCTGAGTGGATAAGAAAACAAGACCCATACATATGCCACTTACAAGAGACCCACTTCGGACCTAAAGACCCACACAGACTGAAAGTAAAGGGATAGAAAAAGATACTTCATGCAAGTGGAAATGAAAAAGAAAGCTGGGGTAGCAATACTTATATCAGACAAAATAGACTTTAAAACAAAGGCTCTAATACAGAGAAGGACATTACATAATGATAAAGGGATCAATCCATCAAGAGGATATAACCCTTGTAAACAGTACCCAACATAGGAGCACCTAAGTATATAAAGCAAATACTGACAAACATAAGGAGAGAGCTCTATAGTAATACAGTAATAGTAGGGGACTTTAACACCCCCATTGACTTCAATGGATAGATCCTCCAGACAGAAAATCAACAAGGAAACAGCAGTTTTAAAGGACACATTAGACAAGATGAATAAATTGATATTTTTTTAGTGCATTTCACCCCAAAGCAACAGAATATACTTTTTTTTCCTAGTATACATGGAACATTTCCCAAGATCACATGTTAGGCCACAAAACAAGTCTCAATAAATTTAAGAAGATTAAAATCATATCCTTTTTCACTGATCACAATGAAATTAGAAATCAATTACAAGAAAAAAAAACCTGAAAAACACACAAAAACTTGAAGGCTAAATAACATACTACTAAACAATGAAAGGGTTTACAAAGAGATCAAGGAAGAAATACAAAGAAACCTCATGACAAATGATGACAAAAACACTAAGAGACTTAGCCAAAGCAGTTCTAAGAGAAATTCATGGTAATACAGGCCTACATCTAAAAGCAAGAAGAATCACAAACAATCTAACCTCATACCTAAAGAAACTAGAAAAAGAACAAACAAAGCCCAAAGTAAGTAGAAGGAAGAAAATGATAGAAATCAGAGGGGAAATAAAGAAAGTAGAGTCTAAAAAAAAAATACAAAAGATCAATGAAACTAGGAGCTAGTTCTTTGAAAAGACAAAATTGATAAACCCTTAGACTCAAAAAAGAGAGGACTCAAATAAATAAAATCAGAAATGAAAGTGGAGAAGTGACAGTTGATTCCACAGAAATACAAAGGAGTATAAGAAAATACTACAAATAATCATATGCCAACAAATTGGACAATCTAGAAGAAATGGATTAATTTCTAGAAACTTACAATATTCCAATACAGAATCAAGAAGAAACAAACTCTGAATAGACCGATTACTACTAACAAAATGAAAACAATAATCAAAAAACTCTCAATAAATAAAAGTTCTGAACCTAATGTCTTCGCAGGTGAATTGTAGCAAACATTCAAAGAATTACATACCTATCCTTCTCAAAAAATTTAAGAGAAGTCTCCCAGGCTCATTTTATGAGGCCACCATTACCCTGATTCTAATATCAGACCAAGATACTATTAAAAAAAAATTATGGGCCAATATCCCTGATGAACACAGATGCACAAATCCTCAACAAAATATTAGCAAACTGAATTTAGGAATACATTAAAAAGATCATACACAGTGATCAAGTGAGATTTATTCCTGGGATACAAGATAGTTTCAGTATCAGCAAATCAATTAACATGATACACCACATAAACAAATGGAAGGATAAAAACCATATGATCATATTAATAGATGCAGAAAAAGGATTTGACAAAATCCAGTGTACATTTATGATTAAAAGTCTCAGCAAAGTGGAAATAGAACATACCTCAACATAATAAAGGCCTTATATAACAAACTCACAGTTAACATCTTAATGGTGAAAAGCATTTTCCTGAAGCTCAGGAACAAGACAAAGATGTCCACTTTTAACACTGTTATTCAACATAGTATTGGAAGTCCTAGCCATAGCAATCATACAAGAAAAAGAAAGAAAAGCCTTCCAAATTGGAATGGAAGACGGAAAACTCATTATTGGCAGATGACATGAACTATATAGAGAAGATCATAAAGATTGCACCAAAAAACTATTACAACTGAATTCAGTAAAGTAGCAGGATACGAAATCAATATTCAAAAATTGATTGCATTTTCATACATCAATAATAAACTACTGGAAAGAGAAATTAAGAAAACAGTCCCATTTACAATTGCATCAGAACGAATAAAATACTGAGTCATAAATCTAACCAAGGATGTAAAAGACCTATACATGGAAAATTATAAGATATTGAGGAAGGAAATGAAGAAGATACAAATAAATGGAAGGAATAGGAATGCTCATGGATAGGAATAATTAATATTGTTAAAATGGCCATACTACCCAAACGATCTATAGATTCAATGCAATCCCTATCAAAATACAAATGGCATTTTTTCACAGAACTATAACAAATAATTCTTAATTTATATGGAACCACAAAAGATCCCAAATAGCCACAGCTATTTGAAAAAGAAAAACAAAGTTGGAGGTATCACACTACCTGATTTCAAACTATACTACAAGGCTATAGTAATCAAAACAGCATGGTACTGGCATAAAAACAGACACAGAGGTCAGTGGAACAGAATAGCCCAGAAATAAACCCATGCCTATATAGTCATTTAATCTATGACAAAGGAGGCAAGAATATACAGTGAAGTAAAGACAGTCTCTTTAATCAATGGTTTGGGGAGTACTGGACAGACACTTGCAGAAGAATGAAATTGTATCACTTTCTTACACCATATATAAGAATAAACTCAAGAAAGATTAAAGACTGAAACGTAAGACCCCAAACCATAAAACTCCAGAAGGAAACATAGGCAGTAAACTCTCTTATATTGCTCTTAGTGATATTTTGGGGGGTATGTCTCCTCAGGTAAGGGAAAGGAAAAATAAACAAATAGGACTACATCAAACTAAAAAGTTTGCATAGCCAAACAAACCACCAACAAAATAAAACACAGCCTACTTAATGGGAGAAGATATTTGCCAATGACACATCCAATAAGGGGTTAATATCCCAAATATATAATTCATACAACTTAATAGCAAAAAGACAATCCAATTTAAAAATGGGCAGAGGACCTGAACAGACATTTCTCCAAAGAGGGCATACAGATGGCCAATAGACATATAAAAAGATGCTCAACATCACTAATAATCAGGGAAAGGCAAATTAAAATCAAAATGAATTATCACTTCACATCTGTCAGAATGGCTATCATCAGTAAATCAACAAACAACAAGTATTGATGAGGTCGTGGAGAAAAGGGTACCCCTGCGCTCTTGGTGGGTTTGCAAATTAGTGTAGCCACTATGGAAAACAATATGGAGGTTCCTCAAAAAATTAAAAATAGATCTACCATATGACTCAGCAATCCTACTTTTGGGATTTTTCTGCTACTTTATACTTTCACAAAAGTTTTCTCTACTAAACACATATTTACTTTTCAACCCAACATTTATTATAAAAGGCAAAAAGATGAACAAAACGAGAAATGAAAGTTAGCGGGTGGGTAGAAACAGGATTCACACCTGTCTACTTCACTTGATTTAGATGTCATCACCCCTGGAGAGCCAGGATGAGGGAGCACTTCTTGCCTTAGGCCAATTCCTTTAGTATTCATGGCTAGTCATTCCTTGCTTACTTATGAAAGCATCTGTAATGGCTTCTGTCTAAGAGAGTGCAGCAGAATCCTTACTCTGGTATGGCAAGTTCTGATCCCAGGGGACTCTGAGTTTGGACAAATCAGTCTACTCTTTCACTGATTATCCACCTCCCTGGAAGAGATTTTTCAAAGATTTTTCTAGAAAGCAGGGTAAGCAGGAGGATTCTAGCCATAGGGAAAGTGGTGTTCTTTTTCAAAATAAAGAAAAACTTCTCCAAAACATCCTATTTTTCCTCTAAACCAGTCTCTTCTTTTTTTTTTTTCTTTCTTTTTCTTTTTTTTGATCTCTTACAGGAAATGATCGAAATGGCCTAGATTTCAACAGGCAGGTAAGGACTTTCAGAAGAAAACATTTATCGTATAAATCATTGGGGTCATTTATACTGTCAGGTATGGGAGATACAAAGAAGATTAAGTAAAGTTTTAGGGTGTTTATTCAGAGGCTCATACCTTTCAGGATTGGAAAGGGCCTTTAAAGGGCCTTTACCTTCAACCCCTCCCCCAATTCACAATTCAATGTCTGAGTCACCTCTTTACTATCCCCTCAAAAGAGTACTGACAAATGCAGCACCTATTTAGGATTTACTGCATGCCAGATGTGGTCCAGAGTCTAAGACAATAGCTCTTTCCTATCAAAGCTCAACCTGAGTTGCTTCTTGGGCAAGTCTGTTTACATGGACTGACTGTATATAGAGGAATTTATAGATGTACAAATTGTGAAGTACCTGGATTCTTCATGGAACTCCTGATTTACAAGAAAATGATAGGAGACAAAACAGGAGAAATAGAACAAAAAGAGCTTAGGAAGGAGTACATGACACAACTCAGTGGGACAATGTAAACACAAGCTTGGTGACTTTGAAGGAAATCAAGTTGGGTGAGTTGGAATTAATCAGAGAGGTTTTCAGGCAAGGTAAGTCAGCACTGGATGGATTGCAGGATGGATGGATGTGAATGTATAAAAGGAAAGTAAAGTGGAGGAAGAGGACTTACCTCTTAAGGTTAGAGGCTGATGGGAAATGTAGGTGTGAGGGCTGGAACAGGGTGTAACGTCAGAAGCAGAAGGTGGGAAGCGTTTGTTGGGAGGAGGAAGCCTAGGTTAAAGACAAGCAGGAAGCAATAATGAGGAGCCCTAAAGTGAGGCAGAGAGGTAAGAATTAGATACAAAATTGGAAAGCCTGAGTTTTGGTCCTGTTTCTGCCACCGACGGGCTATATAATTTTGTGGTCAAGTTGCTTAATATTTTTGGTCTAAGTTTTCTCAGCTGAAAAATTATTTTTCATTAATTTGGGGGTAGGGATTAGAGAAAATGTGTACTATGTCAGTCGTGGGAATACAAAGAAAATTAAGACATGGTTTCTTCTCTGGAGGAGCTCAAAGTCTAATATGAAGTGTGGAGGAGTAGAGATGTTAGGAGAGGGAGAGGGGAAGGAAAGGAGAGAGAGACTCTTAAATGAATACTTATAATACAATTTCATTCATGTTTTACTAGAGATATGTAAAAATCATGGTGGCAAATAGAAATGGAAATAGTTCATTCTTCCTGAGATCTCAGAGTAGGCTTCATGGAGGAGGTGATATTTTTGTCTACTTCTGAAGGAGTTTTCAGGCAGAGAAAAAAGGGCTAGAGAGGGAGATAGCCAGGGGGAGGAGAAGATAATCCCAATGTTTTGGCACATTGAGTAACCACTAGGGTCCCTTCCCACTCTGATATTCTGAGTGCAGGTTTAGATGAGAGTCGGAGTTGGAGCTGGAGGTAAAACTCAGATATGTTCTTCTCCTTTATATGCAGAGTGATTTGCTATTACTACTAACATTTCTAAAATTGGGCTGTTAACTCTGGTTGCATCCTTCACAGTCAGAGAGAAGGATAATCTTGAAACCTAAGCCAAAACCTCTTAGGCAGGCAACTTCCGCAATTTTGAACATTGGGAAAGTTTGTTAACAAATGGAAGCCAACTACTCTCTCTTCCTCTACTCAAGACCTAAAACAGAGATAGGCTTCAATTAAGGAGTCATCTAGGTTGGCTATGAGAAAGGACTTTTAGCCAATATGGTTTATTAAACACTGGAACAGTTACCAAGGGAAGGAGACTGTAGAATCAGCTTCTTACTGAGGTCTTTAAATATGAGATAGATTTTTATCTAAGAAGTAGTTGGGCCAGGTTTGCTTCAAGGTCAGGAAGATAGAAGTGAGTCTCAAGGATTCTATGATCCTGAAAGAGAGTCTAAGTAGGTTGAGATATAGCCTGTGCCCTAAGCTTTCTGCCCTGATGTCTGAGGATCCCAGCCTAGGGTTTAACTCTTACTGCTCCAGGCCTTTGGATGAGATGTACAGGGAGGAGCCCATCCCACACCAGATATGGCCCTACCAGCCCAGCCCAGAGGTGGCCCACTCCATAGGCCCAGTGGGTTTGCCTGCCTATGTGATCTTTCTGAAGGTTGAGAAACCCTCGTGTTTATGACAAGGTTAGGGCAGCCCCTCTGGCCTGGGGCAGCCTACAGAGAGGTCCCTGACCCTTTGAACATCTTTGGAGTGTGGTTTTCCCACCAGTTATGAGAAAGTTTCCTTGCTTCTGCCAGGAGTGGGCCTCCCTTGAGTTCATTTCCCTTGGATGAGCCTCATGAGATAGTTATTCCCTCCCTGTTCGGGAAGGGTTTTGGATTTCTTGTTATTGACAAGAACAGACATGACAGATTTTTTCTTTAAAGAGAGGGGAAATTTTGGAGGAAGAGAGGCTTAGCTGGGCCACACTTATTTACACACTTAGACTGGAGCAATTCTCTGCTCATAAACACACACCTCCACGCCCTCCCCAAGGTTTCTCCTCGCTCCCTCTCACTCTCTCCATCAGATGTCATCAGATACCAACACCCACACGCTCACATTCACACCAGCTCACCTGTGGGCCTACAGGTAGGCACTGAGGATTTCTCAAGCTATGGCATTGACAGTCACTCTCTCATACTATACAACAAGGGAAGGAAACCAGCATTTGCTAACTGCCAGACTCTATGTAGGGTGCTTTTGTTACCTTATCTCATCAATTCTCACTATAAACCAAGTGTTAACTATTCCCATCACACACATGAGGAAATTGCTTCCCAGGCACACTGGCTTTTTTGGCAAAGGATCTGAAAGATTAAATAATTTGCTGAAGGTCACACGATTGGCCAGTTGGCAGAGTCAGGATTTGAACCCATATATCTTTGACTCCAGAACCCACTTTTCCCATGTTTCCTTGCCACATCCTCCTCTGCAGTCTCTCAATTCCCCTCTCCTTTTATATACATACCATCCTTAGGGAGAGGCCTGGGAGCCAGAGGCTGAGCGTGACCTCACTGTGACTAACTGAGAGGAAATGGCACAGGGAGGGGAAGAAAGAGCAGATGTGTAGGAACAGCCTCTGTGTATGATACAGAGGAGGTGTTAGCAGACACAGGAGAGTAAAGGATGAGCCATTGACCATGGTAAAGCTCTGATTGTTAGGCCCCAAGCTAGTTGGTGCAATTGGGAGTTGCAGCCAGGTGCTGAGTAAATTGCAGTTTTGAGCAAGGGATGTTGGCTCATCAGGTAGTTTCATGCTGAGCCTGTTAACTTCCTGGTCCCGAGAAAGCAGACTGAGCTTGTATGGGGATAACTGTGGCAAGGCCCAGGGACTCAGAAGCAGGACTGCTCCAGGCCCTTGGATGAGATGTACAGGGAGGCTTTGTCTCCAGGAAATATAAGACAAATTTGAAAGGCAACACAATAAGGCCAGATCCCTGGGTGGGAAGTCAGAAGTCCTGGGTGCCAGTGCCATAAGCTATTTGTTCCCCTATTTGTTTCTGCCATAAGCTATTTGTTCCCCTTATCTTTCTGGGCCTCAGTTTCCACAAGAATAAAATGAATAAGTTTGCGTGAGATGACCTCTAAGGCCCTGCAGTGTCTTATAGTTCCATCATTTTTCTCATGCCATATTCTGACTGGTTAGTTTGACTTCCACTCTCTTTTCATTTTTTTTTTTTTTGAAGAGTAATGAATAAGAGAGTGTCCATTTCTTCACCCTGAGCTGTAGAGAGTGAGGGAAAATATGTAATATGGACTCTTTACCACTTTTATGTTTTTGTGCGAACCAGTGAAAAGAATCATTTGAAATTTAGGCATAGAGACAAAGACCTGGCAAGCTGGATCTGGGGCCAACCATTTATTCTTTGAATATCTAGTTATTCCTAAGCTCTAGATAGAGGGTGCCATTTGTAAGAAAATAAATCGCAATACTGTGCAGTGAATTCTATGAGAGATATAAGAGCTCTGGGATACTGCCTGAAGATATCACCAAAGAGATGGTGTCTGAAGTGGGCGACAACAGAGAAGTAGGGGGTTTGATTGGCAGAGAGGGGCAGCAAGAATATTCCAATGATTCATAGGAGACAATGAGTGTGAACGCTCACTGCTGTAAAAGGGCATGGCTTTGGGAACAGTGAGAAGACCAGCATGGGATGAGATGGTGGAAGATGAGGCTGAAGCTGTGGGTCAGGTCAGCTTATGAAGAACTTTGAATACCCAGCAAAGAATTTCATCCTGTGGGCAGTAGGGAGTCACTAGGTGTTTTGAAGCATGACTAGCTTCATTTAATTGGAAGAGCATTAGATGGGGGTGTGGTTGAAGAGAGAAGGAAGGATGAATGAGGACTGATGCAAGAGAGGCCCAATGGAATGCTCTTATAGTAGGAAGAAGTAAGCAATGCTAAGGAGAGGGCTGATAGCAAAGAGGTTAAGTATATAAACATAGAATTAGACTGCCTCAATTTGAATCCTGGTTTGGGCACTACCTGCCTGTGCAAGTTTGGGCAAGTTCTTCAACTTCTGTGTTCCTTATTCTCTTCATCTATAATGGGGAAAATAATGGGTTTTTGTGAGGGTTAAATGAGGATGTATGTATGTGTGCGCATGTGCACATGTGTATGCATGTGTATCATAGACAAGTATCTTGAACATATATACTGTATAAGTATTTGCTATTATTATTACTGTGTCAGTAGGCATGGAGAGACTCAGATTTGAGAGATATTTCTGGAGGATTTTTGCAACAGGTTGGACATGGGCTGCAAAGAGAAGGGTCCAGTATGAATCTTAGATTTCTAGCTAGGAATGCTGAGCATTAGTGGTCTTACAACCATAGATTAAGAAGACAAGAGGTGGAACAAAGTTTTCCAGATGATTAAAGGAGGTAGAAGTGCAGGTAATGGGCTCTAAATGCCTAATACATGGTGAGAAATTTGGATCTAGAGCCCAGGAGATAGGTCAGGATGCAGAGTGGGGAGGCACCACTGAACTCTGTTAACTG